GAATCTCATCCAGAAGGTAGACTCTGACCCACTACTACTGCTGCTACTAACATGATGGCCCTAATGTCTCGGAATCTCATCCAGAAGGTAGACTCCATTCACCTCACGACCACTCCCAATCATCTTCTTTGACTCCATATCCTGCAAAATACAATTACCAAGAAGAAAGGTCACGGAACAATTCAAATTTTTTGTTAAAGAACTAACATAAAGTAGGTTGGTATGAAGTTTAGGACATGTAAAACAAAAGATAAAGTTATATCAGCGGTCACTCTAACTGTCCCTTTCCCAGCAATGGGAATATGTAAACCATCTGCTATAGAGACTCTGCCTCTACCAGAGCACAACTGATAGGAACTAAAAAGGGTAGGGGCATTAGTCTTGTGCTCAAATACTCCTGAGTCTATAATCCAGGGAGATCCCTCCTTACCTGAAGTGGATGCAAGATTTGTAATTGCATATGAACTACCTGTATGTGCAAAAGAAGTGGTGTAGTTGGCTCCTGCATTCTACTGTCCATCTGGAAGGCCACAACTAAGTGAATCTTTTTTACTCATAAGCTGTCCAAACCTTTCCAATTCTATTCTCACTGCTGCTACTACAATGGATTCCCAATCAGTTTGGGAAAGAGGGGCCAAAGAGTCTCTTGTAGTGGCCACATTTGCATTTCCCTTTCTGTTCCTTATCTGAGCAGGCATCAGATTTGGATGAAGCTTTCAACAAGTGTCCCTGGTATGCTTAGGCTTCTTACAATAATCACACACCAAGTCCTTCTAATCTTCCCTTCTAGTCTCACTACTTCCCCTGTCTCCATTCGACTTAGGTTTGGTTGTACTAACCATAGCCGACTGGTCAATCCTAGGCTGTCTCAGCATTACATTCCTCCTACTCTCCTCTCCAGAGACAAAAGGCATAGGCTTGAGAGAGTCACACCCTCCCTAGAAAGAATATGCTGCCTAGCAATGTCAAATTCAGGGTTCAGCCCTGCCAAGGGTTTTTAGCATGGAGAAATACACAGCAAGGGTTTTTTTTCCCTGTTTCATACTTATCACCTGATTCCTTAATTGATAGGCTCTGGCTTCATTTTGCTTTTGAGAGTAGGTTTTAGTCACTCCATCCCAAATCTCCTTAGCAGTATTAGCCCATAGGAAATTTTTTGCAATATGAGGTAACACAGAATTAAACAACCAGGACATTACCATGTAATTCTCCTGCACCCATCGAGAAGAGTCTATATCAGGTTTCTTCTCCTCCCTAGTGATGTACCCTAATTTTCCACGGGCACCAATAGCCATCTTGGCTGATTGTACCCACTCTAAATAATTTGTACCATCAAGTTTTACTGTAGTAATGATTCCAGACCCAAAAATATAACTACTACCTCCAACACCCATTCCCACAATACCGGTGGATTTCACCTCGGTATTCCAACTCTCCATCTTACTTCAAACAATTCAACAGTAAGAAAAAATAGATTGGAGACCTTCCAAAAACAATTTAATATCACACACACAGAAACCAACCCTTCTAAAAGAAGAAAACCCTATCAGGAGAGAAATCTCTCTCCTCCCCACACCTCCCAATAGAGAGGAGTGAATCGATCACTCCAGGAGGCTCAGAAAAATTCTAGAAACTTAACCACCCTCTTCAGAATATCAAAAGAAAACTAACAATACCTGGGTGCCCAAGATCAGATAAAAAACAAAGAGCCCAACTTTTCTAGGACTCTTCGTCGTATTCCAGTTCTTCTTGATTTTGATGCCGAACAGTAGATCACCTTCCTAATGACTAGATCCCACCAAAAAATCCAAGAACTGGGCAATATATAGTAGATCGATCAGCCCTTTGTTACTTCATGCAGTCGGCCGATCTAGGGCTACATGAGAATACTTCAAGAACCCTAACCTGGCTTTGATACCAAGTAGAATTTTACTGAACTCAAAAAATAGGAACAAAAAGTGGTTTCTTGAAGAGAGAAGGAGAAGAGATCTTGAAAGAAAAGAGAGCAATAATCTAGCCGCCCCCTTCACTTATTATTTATACTAAAAATAATAGAGCAGTACAAAGACAACTATGCCCTTATAGGGCGGCAAAACATAAAAAAGCATATATAAGACTCAAAAACATAATAAAATTTGGACTCACATAACTATTGTGGTCCCCACCTCTTATCTAACAACTAACATAAAACATCTACTCAGAAAAACAACATAAAACTGATTAATCTTCAACAGAAAGTATTCTTTTATCAATGAAGAAGGTTCTGCCTCAAAAAGCAACATTTTGAGCAATCATCGCTATTCGTTATATGATGCATCAGTTAAAGATCAAGGCCTTGGGACAGGAAATTGCTCATGTACCATCTAATAATGTTCAGTATCCATGAGGATCATGACATTGTTTTAATAGATAGCCTAGGTGATACTTGTTAAGAAAGTACGCATATCATGACAAATAAAACTCCTATATATATATATATATATATATATATATATATGTTATGTATGCATTGACCCATCTACTAAATGTATATGTATGTATGTATGTATGTATGTATGTATACGTATGTATGGATAGAATTGTTGTGCCAGAGAAGACTACACCTTGTCAGCTGCTGCTTGTAAGGTGACATGGTCTCCCCATTCCCCAGATCTGCATGATGAAAAAAGGAGCCAGAAACAGAAGTCATTTTTCTTCACATTGATGAAGTACAAATTATTTGACCTATAGCATCAACACCTAAAATGGATTGATTCAGGTTATTAAGAATCTGGAAATGAGCCCATTTTCAGAAAATCAGAATGATCTTGATCAAATACTTTGCTAACAACCTGGAGAGGGTCATTTTAGATGGGTAAAATTCTATAGTAAAATGTAATGGATGACCATAATGAAATATTCCTTTTGGGATGACTTCCAAACAGGGAATAATTGCATGAAAATGATTAAGTAGAAGCCCTCAAGGAGACATCCTACCTGGCCATTTTCTTGCAATAGCTTTTATACTTCATGGGAACATAGCCTTCATACAAAGAACGGTAGTCTTTAAGCTGCAGCAAGCCAGCAACAAGAGGTTAGAGAATGTAGAAAACTTAAAACTAACATCTTCGGGAACCTTAAATAAATGAAGATAGATATAGATATAGATAGAGAGGTTGTATGTGTGAGAGAGAATATTTTGATGCAACATTAACACAAAATAGAGAGAATACGAGGTCCAAGTAATCCCCAAACTCATGATGATTGTTACCTAGGTATGTGGAATAGATACCAAACACTCAGGTGTTAAAGTTTATGGGAAACCAACCTCACAAAATCTTGGAATAGCAACATAGACACAAATAAATGTCAAGTTAAATTAAAAAAAAAAAATATTGACTTGTTCTATCAACAAGGCTTCAAATGATATCCATTTAGTTATTGGGCCGATTTCTAGTTATTGGGCCCAATTATTTATCTTCTATTTTTAAGTTGTTAAGTTAGGAAGTTATTGGGCTTTAGGCCCATTAGTTTATGTTTTTTAAGCTGTGACTGTTCAGCTACGTAGCCGCCCTACTAAGGGCATTCTTGTAATCTCTTATTCTTTTAATTTGAGTATATAATACAAAGAGGAGTTGGTGGCCAGAACTAATTCAGTTCTGGTTGACATCCCACTCCTTTTCTTCTCTTTTCTCTCTACTGCTGAAACTCTCCATCTTCTTCTTCTTTCTCTTCACAAGGAATTCATCTAAAACTGCAATCAGTGATTTCTACTTGGTATCAGAGCTAGGTTTGAAGGTTCCTTGAGCTATTCTGTCATGCAGCCCCAGATCGGCCGACTGCATGGTGATTTGAGAGGCTGATCGAAGATCTCAGGTAAGCCCAGTTTTTGGATTTCTTGTTGGATCTGTTTTGCCTTGTAGCTGGTCTAGGGTTTCCCATCAAATTCAGGAAAAACTGGAGAAAGGGGGAGTCCTGCTTCTGTTGTTCTCTTCAATTTTGACCTAGGAAGTGGTGCCCTAATTTTTTAGGGTTCCTTGGAGTTTTCTGAAGGGGGCGGTTCAAGTCCTGCCTGTTTTGGAAGTCTTTGGAGAGAGCGGCTGCCTCTTCTCTCTTTTCTTCCATCCCGCAGAAAAGGAATCTTTTGTGGAAAGGTCATCTAGGGCACCAGAAGGGTGTCAGTGGTACCAAAAGTGATTTATTTGATATTCTTTCATCCTACAATAACCTTCTAACCCCTTTTTGAGAATTATGGAGGATAACGGAGTTGAAAACAAACCCGGGAGTGAAATGAGACCAGTGGGAGGTGTCAGAGACCTTTTCGGGGTTGGGACCATTAGTACAATTAAGTTTGATAGTTCAAATTACTTAGAATGGTCACAATCTGCAAAGATGGCCATTGGTGCTCGCGGGAAGTTAGGGTATATCACTGGTGAGGAAGTGAAACCCCGAACTAGCAGCTCCCGATGGGTACAGGAAAATTATATGGTGATGACTTAATTGTGTAATTCGATGCTGCCCCATATAAGTAAGAATTTTTTGTCGGCAAATACAGCTAAGGAAATATGGGATGGGGTTGCAGAAACCTACTCACAGAGTGATAATGTTGCTAGTACCTATCAATTGAGGAATCAAATTATTGCTACAAGGCAGGGAGATAGACCTATTGTTGTTTACTTTTCAGCCCTTAAAACCTCGTGGCAGGAGATTGACCATTTGGAGACAGTTGTTTGGGAAACCACTAAGGATGCAGCTGCCTGCCAGAAGCTCCTAGAGAAGTATAGGGTTTTTGAATTTCTTGTTGGCCTTAATCCTGAATATGATATTGCAAGACAGCATATTCTTTCCAGGGACAGTGTTACTCTCCCAGGCATATGCCTTTGTATCAGGGGAAGAGAGCAGGAGAAATGTGATGATGAAAAATTCTGGTTTTGATAAATCAGCCATGGTTAGCACTGTGAAACCTAAACAAGGTGGAGACCGGGGTGGTAGTGAAATTAGGAAGGAAGACAAAAAGAATTTGATTTGTGACTACTGTAAGAAGCCTAAACACACAAGAGATACCTGCTGGAAACTTCTTCCTCATCTTGTGCCGGATAGACTCAAAAACAAGAAGGGAAATGCTCACATGGCAGTCACTGGTGACATACCAGCCCCTCCTACTACATCTACTCTGCAATCTGTTGCAGTTGTCGCAGTGAGGGCCGAACTTGAGAGATATGGGCAGTTCCTGAATCAACAGGATACAGTTAGTCCTAATTCAGTAATAGGTGGACAGCTAGGTACAGGTGGTTCTGGTGGAGCACACTCTACTTCCTTTGCTCACACAGGTAGTTCACATGCCACTGCAAATTATGTTTCTACTACAGGTAAGGAGGAACCTCCTTGGATTATAGATTCTAGAGCCTCAGAGCACATGACCCATAGTTTCACTATTTTTTCTTCTTACCAGCTCTGTTCTGGCAAAGACAGAGTCTCCACAGCTGATGGATCTCATGTTCCCATTGCTGGGAAGGGGTCTGTCAAGATTAATGATTCCATTTCCCTTCCCTCTGTCCTTCATGTTCCCAGATTAAGTACTAGCCTGTTATCTGTTAATAGTTTGACTAAGAACCTGAATTGCTCAGTAATTTTTTCTCTTGGTCATTGTGTCTTGCAGGATCTGGATAAAGAGGACGATTGGGAGTGGTCGTGAAGTGAATGGAATCTACCTCCTGGATGTGCTTCCTCATCATCAGGGTCATCATGTCAACAGGGATAGTGAGTCGGGGTTTGTGAGTCAGATTATGCTTTGGCATAATCGTTTGGGTCATTTGTCTTTTTCTTCATTGAGTTTCTTATTTTCAAGGCTTTTTGAGTCTGTTAATTTGTCCAATCTGGAGTTTGAAGGTTATCAACTTGGAAAACATTGTAGATATTCCTTTAAAGCTAGTAATAAAAGATGTTCATCTCCTTTTAGTGTTATTCATTCTGATGTGTGGGGACCATATCATGCTCCTTCTATGGGTGGCTATCGATATTTTCTCTTATTTATGGATGATTTTTCTCGATATTCTAGGATTTACTTAATGAGATCTTGAGATGAGGTACCATCCTTGGTAAGGCAATTTCATCAGATGGTGCTAACACAGTTTGGAACACGAATAAAGGTGTTCAGATCAGACAATGCCAGGGAATATTTTGAAAAACACCTTGTTTCATATCTGTTAGAATATGGTGTTGTCCATCAGAGCAGCTATTCCTACAGTCCACAACAGAATGGTGTTGCAGAGAGGAAGAACAGACACAATGTTGAGATTGCAAGAAGCATGATGATTGCAGCTACTGTTTCAGTTCGGTTTTGGGGTGATGCAGTTCTCACAGCAATCTTTTTGATTGATAGGGTGCCCTCCCGTATACTTGGATTCAGCACACCATTCAATCTCCTTTTTCTTGAGGGGGAGATGTTCCATATTCCTCTCAAGGTGTTTGAGTGTGTTTGCTTTGCACATATTCTTGGTCTTCACCGCTCGAAGCTTGATTCGAAGGCAGAGAAGTGTGTCTTCCTTGGATATGCAAAAAATCAAAAAGGGTACTGCTGCTATGATCCAGTTTCTGGGAGTCGATATGTTACTATGGATGTCACCTTTTTTGAGTCCACATCCTTCTTCTCGATGAATCCTTCTCAAGGGGAGTGTTTGGGGGAAGTGAGTGAACAGTCTATTCCTCTTCCAGTTCCAGTTCCTGTGTCCACTCCTATGTCTAATCCTCTATGTCACCTACCATACCACCTCCTTGTTAGACAGTGTATGCCCTTAGCTCCAATCAGATTGATGTGCTTGATGACATTTATTGTAAATGAATAAAAGTACATAATTGATTCATGTGTTTTGCTATGTTTCTGTGTAATACCCTTAAACTGGACACCTATGAAACTCGTGTTAGTTTAGAATCTTCACAGACGTTGGATAGATCTGTGGAGATTTATCCTGCCAAGGCTGACACTGATGTGCCGCCAAGTTGGTTGGGGTGGCTTGTCTCAGCTGCCAGGGTGAGACCTGAGGTGCATGCAGTGTGGGTTTTCTTGAAACCTTGAACCGGACCAAAATTCCAGTATTGCCCTAGACCTTAGAGAAAGATGGGCAAAACTGGATTGTTACACCTGACCCCTAGACTCGATTATGGTACTGCACTAGGTGTCGGATTGGGTTGTCTTTGATATGCCAATCAGTGAGATCCTTAAAGGGGGTCAAAACCTGGGTATGTTGGGACAGTCCGAGAATTCATCTGAGTGGATGATCATAGTGACAGGATCAGCCCCTTTGTCGAACAAAGTGAATGATCGGGGATGCACTCTCTCTGATGGAAACCTAAATTGCCGGCAGTTGATTTCAAACGTTGAAATTTATTTTTTGCAAAATATATTTATATAGAGATACACACACACACACACATACACACACACACACACACACACACACACACACAATGTTTGCAAAATATATTTATGGTTTCAAAATGTTTGCAAAAGGTTTTAATTCCCGGGATCCATGTAAGTAGAGAGTGCAGCACTGTTCCTTGCAGGCGAGGGAGAGGTCCTCTCTTGTCGAGTAGTGTTTGATCATTATGGGCTGAGAGGTTAAGTGTAAGACCATTGAGGGTAATACCTAATGGGCTAATCTTGCATCTGCCCGCAGTCCTTGGGTTTTCATAAGGTGGCTGGACCCAAGGACAATTTAGTGTAAATGTTGGGCCCATTAAGAGCCCATGGTGATAGACTCAGGGGGTCACTGTCTCCTACAGTGAATTCGGCCAGGCCTTGTAACAAAGGCTGGGCTGAACCCATGTGGCTGATGTGTAGATCGATGTAAGGGTCCCACACCATACAAAGAGAACCAACTAGGTAGCAGGTTAAAGGTGTAAGTGAGCACATAGGCTTAATGGGCCTAAAGCCCAATTCGAACTAGGCTTAAATTGGTTAATTAAAAGGAGGCAAGAACTTATTTATAATCTGATTAGGATTAGCTGAAAGGATAAGATAAGTCTTATCCATTTAAGAGTCCAGATCCAAATATCAGATTTGGATCAAGAA